TCGCCCATCGGGCGAGTTATTTTTTCTAATTTCAGATCAGAATAAGAACAGAAGAAAACCCAATATCAAGACCCTTAATCCTAATTTCTAAATAAAGTGTCTGCTCCACCCTAGGCCTGTACATTTGGGAGAATCAAACCCTCCCTTCCCCGAAATCTACAACACGAGCAAATAATACATAAAAAGTATGATATTAAATAAATAAGAAAAATCAATTTCATTATAAGAGTTGATTATTTTAAATACAATATGATCAACATCGTGTTTCTCTAAATATCCAAATATCCAAAGTAAATATAAGGAGTGATAATGTTTAAGTGAAATATTTATACCTACAATGTACATTAACTTGTAGAGATTTAGATCTTGTTTTAGGGATGGTATTTTTAATATTGGTAGCTTCATATCTATAGTTTCCATCCTGATTTCTTTTTATTTGAGTCAATATAAGATCTTTACTTGATGATAAAACTTGTTCAGGTCCAGTCCATTTATAATTACATTTATAACAATCAGTTAAACATGTTATAGTTTGATCTCCACCTTCTATTATATTGATACTTGTTACATCTGGTGAGAAAGTAAGTTCATCAGGACCATCTGAATTAATAAGAATCACATAAACATGTTATATTAAATAACGAACACAATTTTATTGTATCCGTTATTAAATGTGATCTCTACCCCTAAATGTCGCTAAAGGATTATAAACATGTTATAGTTACTGTATAAAATAACAACATTCTGGTTCAGATTTATTATATGTGAAACTGTACAGGTATATTAATATTACTATATTATTTTATATACTTACAATACATCTGAACATTAAGTTTTTTTGTAAGTTGTTTATTTAATACAGTATGTGTAACTGTACAGTTATAAGAACCAGTTTGTTGTCTAGTATGTATTAATAAAGTATTATATACTTACAATAAACCTGAACAATAAGTTGTTTTGTAAGTTGTTTATTAAATACAATATGTTTAACTGTACAGGTATAAACACCAGTTTGAATTCTGGTGCTAAGTGATAAAGGGTTATTTAGAATTGTTGTTGAACCATCTTTAGACCAGTTGATGTCACAATCTGGATTACAATCAGCTAAACAGTTGACACTCTGACTCTTTCCTTCTATAACATCTATATTATTACTAGTAGGGTTAAATCTTATATTCTCTGGACCATCTGAAAATATTAAACGTTGATAATTCTGATTGTAAATTTTCATCAGTTGAATTGAAACAAGAACTGCTTAACAATATGTAGATATTAAATGTACATCAGAGTTTTGTTTTCATTTGATTAGAAAATAAAAGATGCGATGGAAATGAACTTACAGTAAACTGTTACAGTAGTTGAGCTTTGTCCACCAGCGTTACCTTTACATGACCATGTTGAATCATCTTTTATATTTATATCATTTATATTGAGATATAGCGTTTTGTTGTTATTATTTATACATCCACATTTATATCTATTATTTGTTGATTGACTTTCACAGCTTTGAGATAATATACTACATACAACAATATTGTTTCTACGGAAATCTACAGCATTAGATGAATCTGTAACATCACATTGTAATCTATAATTTTCATCTAATACAAGATACCTTTTTACAGGAACTCCTCTTAAAGTATATTGACCTGTAATATAATCAATATGATTCATTTTTATACCCTTGGATTAACATTTTCACATTTCAGCTTACAATTGACCTCTTAAAATTGGGAGACATTTTTATTTCTGTTTGCAATTTCACATCTAAGATTTTTAAAAGAATATTAAAAGCACTCTGGGTTTATAAAAGTCATTAACAAAAAAATCCATAAAAGTCGTACTCATCCAAAATCTTATCAATGCATGGAAAATGCCATCAAAATCAAATCAAAACTGTTGTGTGGCTGTGGCATTGACAGCCAAATTTTAGCAGTTTAGCTAATCAAGGGCTATAACTAATAATGCGTTTATCACAATTTCATGCAAATCAAACTTATCTGAGAGCTCAAACTGTAGTCTCTTTCTTGTTCACAAATAAACGTGGACGGATGAATAACCGAACAGGAGTGAAATCAATACACGTCCACATGTATAAGTTTGGCGCTTAAAGCTGTTATTGAAACATATTTTGGAAGAACCCCTCGAATATTACAAAGTACAATTGAACAGACTAAAGTTTTCCAATTAGAAACTTTAATTCGTTTTACATTCTACCCCTCAATTAAAAATCTGTTGAAATCGACAATGCGAAAGAGAAGGCCATTTTCCATCGAATACATTGATCCATATCTATATTGTAAAATATTATTAGTGAATCAGAACTCAATCCTGTATTCAGCCCAAGAATTTATGGGAACATCAACATTTACAACCTGTCATTTTAGATGTATGTACAATATGATGTCATTTTACTAAACATGGAGACATGTATATCATAAGAAATAAATCTAAAATAAATACATATCTTACCTATAATTAGTACTGGTAAATAAAAAAAAACTATTAATATAAATATATATTTATACTCCATGTTATTGATTCAAATGATATAGTCAACAAGACGATATTCTCTTGTCATATATGGTGTTTATTGCAAGTCTCTAACTTATATCCTCTTTTAAACATAAAAATACCTTATACGTACTATTATTATTAAATATGACCTCAATAAGTATATTATACAATATTTTATCTCAATTTATTAGACTTGAAACTAATTCAAATAGACCCATAGATTCGAAATCATCAGAATCGAATTCCTCTCAGCTCTTTTCAAACTCATCATAACAACTTTAATTAAAATCGATTGAAAAGTCTGGCATCGTGTACACGAAGACATATTGTCGCAAATCAACACAATCAAATGTGATAAACATTCAACAAACCTACAAAATTTTCTAGCTTTTAACTCGTTTTAGATGAATGCAAATGATCACATATAATTTCATGAATAACATGAAAACTGTAGCTACAAGAAATGTTCACAACGGACTGAAGAACAGAGTCGACGACAATTTACGTCCAGTGCGTTTGAAATGAAACAAAAAATAGGAAGAATAAAATTGACAGGAATAATGACAGTAATTTAAGAGAAAAACAACTCGAATTCTGAATTAAATTAAAACTAATGAAATTCAAATAAAAATATCATTAAACGCAGATAAATGTATTTATATGAACAGGTGCAAAGGGGAATCATATACATAAATTTAAAAAATGTAATATCATATATTTATGGCGTACAATAACAAGTACTATAAAAAGCATCGAATACACAAAGTTCAAAATAGTAACAGAAAAAAAACATGGTTGTTATTGGATGATATAAGTTACTGATGTCATTGGATATAACTGGAACTGTTGTTATTAGATATTACTGATGCTGTTGGTATTTGATATTACTAGTACTGTTGGTGTTGGATATTACTGGTACTTTTGGTGTTGGATATTACTAGTACTGATGGTATTCAATATTAATAGTACAGTTGTTAATGGACGCTGCTAGTTGATGTTGGATATTTCTAGTACTTTTGGAATTGGACATTACTAGCATACTGTTGGTGTTGGATATTACTAGTATGGTTTGTACTAGACGTTACTAGAACTGTTTGTAATGGACTTTACTAGTACTGTTGGTATTGGGCATTATTAGAACTGTTAGTATTTGGCATTACTGGCACTGTACCAAATATCACAGTTTTGTTTATATTTATTCACAAATTTCCATGCTCTTTTACACCTCCAGAAGTCTTTAGATTTCAGTATTAATTCGACTTATGAATTAATCATTCGACAATTGTTGGTAGACGCAATTTACATGAAAACACCAATTTAGGGCCTTCTTGTTTATCCATATTAAACGAATTTACTAAGGCGAAACGAGGTTTATTTTTAGGCATATGACTGAAAATGAAGTAAAGGTTCAATGTGACATTCAACATTTTTGATTGAATAACTTTGTAGGACACATTATTTCTTACATACATACTAATATAGAGCTCAACTATTTACAAGTATTACCGGTAAGACATTTTCTGAAGAACACTACAATGTGATAGAAGCTGATTGAAAGGGCCCATCGGTTTGTAGCAAGTGTCCATTTCGAAATATCGATTTCTACCCAGGGCACAAATGGATTGTCTTCTGTTTGAGAACGACGATCTAATCATCTTGTTTTAGGTTAAGGGGCTCAAATATACACTTAAATTTAAACAAAACAAAAAATAAAATAGAAATATCTGGATTCATTATAATTATATTTCCGTCGCGTCAGACGATATGGTTCTGGATATAATATAATCTATCAATAATTGCAATAGAGTCAGATTGATATCTTGTTAAGTGTGTTGATATAAACATTGTTACGAGCAAAATGTTGGAGAACGGGGACTTTCAAATAGGTCCTTCGTTTTAATTACACGTGTAAATGTATTACCGTTATGATCTCATTCTTATGTTGTTGTCTTTTTTGTATTATTTTTTGCAGTGGGATAAAATCAAAATCAATTATGGTATTTTGTATGAATTATGCATATACTATCATTACAGTAATATACACGGTTGTCACCTTACCAAATGTTTGTGGAGGTAATGTAAATATAATTAGTTTTTAGATGTACCTCCATCGGTCGAAGGTTTTTAAAATGCTTCGCACTTGGTAAGATTAGGTAGATGGCATTTCAACATTTTTACTGATAAGTTTAATACAGTGTAGGTTGTCTATAGCAATACTCACATTGACAATTTTTATTATGCTAGTATAAATACTTATATTAAGTAAATTTACTTGCTGTGGACAGTTGATATACTCCATGAGTAAATTTGTTAAGATGAGTAAATTGTATTAAGTGAATAATGCTTAATTTTAATTTTTTGACATTTTTGTACTGAAAGGCATTATTGAGACCTGCGTTTAAATCTCCTGACATCAGTATTAGTTTTAATTTTAGCAACTGTTGGATTTTAAAAAGGCTTTTTGTTTTTGGTAGAAATTGGTGTGAATTGTGGATCTGGTGCTGTTGTTGGACAACCATACAATTTACAATGTACTAATATACCAGATACTCTTACCAATGGTGTTAATGTATTTCTGGGTGATACAAGCAATAGTATAATATTTTGTCTGCCCACTTCACCTAAAGATTGTGATTCACGGAACAGTTTATTATACAGTGTTCAATCACCACACAATAAATCATTATATTTTACTATACTGAATGTAACAACAGATGATATTGGTAAGAAAGTGTATTGTGTAGATGATACAACTCTAGATCTTTCTACACCAAAACCAAGCTGTACAGTTGATAAGAGTTATATAAAAATGTTATCTGAAACATTAACCATTGACTAATGATGTATTAAAGGGATTATAAAAAGTTTTTTATATAATTTTTATGTGTATATTATTAACTGTACAGTTATAGCACCGATTTGCATCATTCCAATTTTAAGGAAGGCGTCCGTTGGCCTTGCTATTTCGCTAAGACTTTGCTGTCGTGGAATTTGCTATTAATTTGTTCGTTTTAAAATCTTGAAAAAATAAGGACATACGTGTAACTAGGTTTTACATTGAGAGAAGACTTGGACTAAATTAATTTCATTTCAATTTGTTGTAGAACCGTCTCCTACCACTACAGGTAAGTAACTCTTAAGACATCTATTATAATCTGCTTACTTGTGCTCACTTATTGTCTTTTTAACTAAGATTACAGTTTAACTTGTTGCGAATCTTTCGTAAGGAGTGCCATTTAAAAGGAACAGAAATGTTGATCACACAAAAATTGTTTTCTGAAGTATATAAGACAGGTTCATAAAAACGATATGAACTCGTAGCACAGGTTAACATTGTAACTCTTTAGGGCGATACTGAATAATATTGAGTATGAGTTATTGCCCTTGAAAACGTGTGCAATTTTTAGCTCGTGAAAACTCTAGAAGGCAAATATTCAATCTGAATAAAACCAAGTTTTGTCAAAATCTAGCAAGAATTATGCCTTTTAGTGTTCAAGAGCTAAATTTGAAAGCGTTTTCAAGCACAAAGGCAATAACTCATACTCAATATTTTTTAATTCTTCTGATTTTCAATAGGGTTCATTCTATTAAGAACACTCATGCCAAGTTTCGTTAAAATCCGTCAAGAATTGTCCCTACTAAAGCTAAAAATCAAACGTGTTTTCAAGAACAAGGGCAATAACTTATACTAGATATTTTTCGATTCTTCTGATTTTCAATAGGGTTCATCTTTGGGTGATAACGAACACTCATACCAAGTTTTCTCAAAATCCGCCAAGAATTGTGTCTTGTAGAGTGTTTACGAGCAATTGTGCACGGATCGACGGACGGACGGACGGACGGACATGGGTGACGACAATATACCCATTTCATGATGTGAACTCTCTGGAGATGGATATCTGGCAAGGTGTCAAGGACCCGGAATATCGCTTGAGAACCGTTTTTCTCGGATTTTACCCAAAAATGCCCCTAACACTTATTCAGACAATACTTGACATAAATTGATTATGTTTTAATATTTTTGTTGTAGGACCCTCTCCTACCACTACGGTAAGTAACTCTGACATCTATATTAGTTTTCAAACTGAGCGTAAGACAGATGAGTTAAATGAGTGGCTGATTCCTACCATGAATGCCATTTCAATCAAGGAAGACAGAAAATATCTAACTATTTTTCACAAATTTATAAGCATATGATTTTTACGCCATTTTTATACAAATCGATTACTTCATACGCTTCATTTGTTATTGTTCCTGCCCCAGTGATCAACCCGTTCTTATCTGTCAAATTATATGTCAAGCTGTCAATCTATGTGCAGTGCATAACAACTTCTTGATATTTAGCGATGATTGGACACCTTATGTGCTGGACTTTCCAAAATACGGGAAGCGTTAGACAAGGTAATCGTATTCTATTTTCATTTCTTTTCTATTTAAGGCGACGGTGATGGATTATCTGATGGTGAAATAGCAGGAATAGTAATTGGGTGTTTATTAATAATAATCATAATAATTGTCATTGTTATTGTCATTGTGAAAAAAAAAATATAAATGAGTATAAGATGTACATAAGTTTTCAGTTTACTTACCTTTACTTTATGAATTTTTGTCTGTTATAGAATAATTATATTTATTGTAAATATTAAAGTTACTAAATAGAAACACAATGTTTTTTAGACAACAGTCTTTACTAATCATGTCTTTGTGCTTCACTTTTAACGAGTTAGCGGATTTGCTTTATTAATTTTGTCTGTTATTCAGTACATGTATATGAGGGTGCATCATCTGCCCCTTAATTTTGTTCCAATGCCCCAAAAAGATAATCATGCAAAGTTTTTTGAAAATTGGACAATAACTATGTGGTCCCCTTGGCAACTGGATTTTGCTCAGTGATTCTTGGTCGGCAACATGGTAAGACCAGTAATCATAATACTTAAGAAAGATGGATCAAGCTGTTTTAACTGAAATATGAATCAAAAAATCTAAAGTAGCAAAATCAGCTATAGTTGGTTGATAGACTGGTCTTCTTGGGGGAGCCTAGGCTTGCAGTAACCAGTTCTAACACAGTTCATTGGTCAAATAAGCATCACATCTAGTTCAGGACCTAGTAGTGCCTACTCGACCTGAAATCAGGTGCCTCAGAAATGCTTCATGGTGATTCAGCTAAAGATCATTCCATAGGACATAGACTGCAGAACTACAGGTCATCCACCAATAGAGCAGTGTTAGAAAGTTCACATATTCCCTCACCTTTGGCACCTGTCGTCTTGTCAGGATAGCACCTTGAGGTAGTTACTATATCTAAAAGCATATTTTAATGGAGGATAATAATGCTGCACAGAGTTCAACATACTCAAAATAGTCTCTGGATCATGTGTTCAAATACTTAGATGACAGTTACCTACCGTCTACTTCCACCTTATTAGATGGCTGTGGCATGCTTGTCTGCAATGATCAAATTGTGAACATACCGTTCGTTGAAAACAAACAGTTTTGCACTTCAGGCATAGTCAACATATCCACATTTAAGTCATTAATGTCAACACCTAGTTATGTTTATTAATCACAAATTTTAGATGATTACCAAGTAGTTACAAAAACAACAGATTATGTTCAGCCATCTTTAAAAAATTGGATTTGCTGTCTCATTTCATTTCCCGTGTTTTTTATTGGCTGTCATACCAATTGACTTCCTATACAAACTTTAGTGTAGGCTGGACTGGGCGTTTCTGAGTACACGTCATGAGGTCTTTAATTCATACGTGCATCACTGTAAATGCCAGGGTCGAGTTTGGAAAGATTCCTACCTACCAGATGAACATCCTAGTTCACTTTTATCAAAAATTAATTACATATCACAATACAACACTTTGTTTATCATGTGTAGGTATTGTGAAAAACCATCTAAAATAGTTGATTATATATAAATTTGAAGCTTGAGGTGGACCACAGAGGCATCAACAGAATTCCAAACAGTTAGGCATTGGAACACTATAAAACTAGGGACAAGACATTTGTGACGTAAAGGGGCAGATTTAAGTTATTTTCATTATGCCCCCCCAACTACAGCAACCACTGGCAAGACGCCAGACATAGATACACTAATCGTCAACCAAACCAACATCACATACCATACAACGGCCTACCAATTTAGAGGTATCAACCGACCTGACCAACAACAGAAACGACAACCAGTCCCCACTCATAAGAAGGAACAACCCCCCGTAAAGGTGTTCTCCATCATTTGGCAATCCGTTCCCTTCAACAGCAAGGTCAACCAACGTTTACCTTCAAACGCAAAGTCTCTGAGTTGGATAGTTTTATCCGTCCAGCAATGAAAACATCAGCTGTCGACGCGAATATTAGATCCCTCAATCGGACATGGCTCTCTAAGGTTACGCAGGCCCTGATAGACCATTACCAAACCAAACTTCAAGAGAAGCTGACCACCATTCGTACCAAGTCTTTATCATCCCCTGCCATCGACCGCATCGTTTCTCATGTCATGTCCTGGACCCGTCGATTCTATGGGAAACGTCTCACTCAAGCTGTAATCACAAAATTTTACTTGACAATCAACGAAATGAAAGCCAGAGTAACCATATCTCTACCAACTGAAATGGACACTACACCTGCACCAGCCAGCTACCGAAGCAAACCCCTATACGAGCCCGAAGTTGACCTACTCCTAGTCCAGCAGATATAGGTAAACGCTCTGGTAGAGAGGGCACCTCCTTCCCCGCCGTCTGAATCTTCACCGCGTGATCCAGGATCCGCCAACGTTTCTTCCTTCTGTGCGTTTTTGGACCAGCAAACCACCCCTCAGTCTCCATCCAAGTCAAGACGTGTATCCAGACCATCCCCTCCTCGAACCAGATCCCATTCCGTGCCCAATGCTACATTTCTAACAACTACCAAACCAGTACCACATCACCTCATCGACAACCATTATATCCGCTACCAAACCCTATCATCACCAAACCAATGACAAATCATGATAGAATCTACTTGCTCTGAAGAAATCTACCTTAATTATTGGATCATCAAAACCAGTTCAGACACTGAAATACATTCTTACCCCGGTGCCCAAATCCATCACATACAGTCCATCCTTGAATCATACGACCATGATCCCAAACCTACTACCGTTATTCTGAATGTAAAGTGTCTGCTCCGTTATTCTGAATGTAAAGTGTCTGCTCCCCCTAGGCCTGTACATTTGGGAGAATCAAACCCTCCCTTCCCCGAAATCCAAGATCTTCTTGGAAAGCACAACAAAACCTCAGCACACTCAACAACATGATGATGGAGTCCAATACCAACAGCGCAACAGGTTACCACCTTACGAAGAAGAATTCGCACCAGTTGATAATTGTCATTGGTCTCCAGAAAGAGCAAGTATTTATTTGTTTTGGATGCACCAGCTTCAACCATCGAGTAAGTCTTAAAATTAATTACTGGGGATAAAAAGAAGCCACCTCAAGGCTGTAGATAACTTGAGTCGCAAAATTCTCACACCCCTTCAGCATTCAATCTTAGACCGTGGACTTGAGTTTATTAATGTAGCCAAATTAAATTATCCCCGACCATCCATTGAACATTTTCAACGAAATCTTAGCTGCACATATTTTTTTCGAAAGCATTTTAGAGTATGAATAGCCAAACGGCGAACCTTTCCATAACACACGAAAAGTCTAATCTCACACGAGTGGAACGTGAAGCGTTAAACTTACTTAAGAAAGACGATAGCATTGTCATTAAAAAGAGTGACAAAGGCTCATGCTGTGTCCATCTGAAAAGGGAGGATTGCGTTTCAGAAGCAGAGAATCAACTGAATAATTCTTAACACTATGCCATTTTACCAAAACCAATTTCATAGAATCTGCTAATATGATTAACAATATTCTTGCCGATTAAGTCAAAACTAGTTATCTCAAACAGAGACAATATGACTATCTCTCTGCCAAACCTGATTGTCGCGAGAGATATTTGTGCACTTAAGAATCCAACAAAGGAGTGGTTTATCTCGAATAATATCCCTAAAGGCCACCCGATAATATCTGACTGTGGTAGTGAGTCGTATACAGTGTCAGAATACATTGATCATTTCTTGCTACCTCTAGCATGTCAACATCGCGCCCTACTTAAAGATACAACCGATTTTGTCAATAAAATAAAAAAATCTTCGAGTTCCTTCTAATTTCTACCGACGTTTCTTCTATGTATACCAATATCTGGTTTAATGGCAGTTCGTAAAGCTTTTAATAGAAACCCAGATCCAAACAGACCCGACGATGCAATTCTACAGCTTCTGGAGATTTATCTCAGTCGAAACAATTTCACATTTGATGGTAAAACATATTTACAAACTTCATGGACAGCTATGGGCAAACAATTCGCCCCTTCGTACGCAAACCTTTTCATGGCAGAGTGGGAACGTAAGGTGTTGCCCCTCTGTCCATCCGACCCACTTATAAGAGCCTTCAAGAGAAATTACCCCATGTCTATGAGCAGAAAATGATAATAATATTAAAATTATATTATGAATAATATAATTTTAATTCTTTTCCCCTTTTTGGGAATTTGTGATATAATTTGATAATAATATTATATAGATTCAGGAAGGGGTATTTTTAAGTGGCATCCCAGATGGGTTCAATCTAATTAAAGATGGGTTTCCTTATTTTTTTGTGTCAAATTAAGGAAACTATTTGTCTTCTGATTCTGAAAGAAATGAAAATATTTTTTCAACCCGATTGTTGATGACGTTCCAAAAAGTTTCTAGACGCCAGACTAAAACATATCTACAGTACTTAAAACAGTCAGGAAAATGTCACATACAACAATATGTTTCTTAGTGACAAACCTTTAGACTCTTTTGTCATATATAAATTTAGTATAGTGTGTGCCTCGAATGGAAAAGTAGACTTCAATAAGACTAAATATATTGTTAATTGAAAGATTTTTCATGAAAAAAAACCAAATAATTTAAGGTTTAAAATAGTTTTATTTTATTTGGTGCATAAGGGCCATAATCTTTATATCAGATGGATAAATACAGTTCATAAGTAGTTTCCTCTTCTTTCTTCGCGGTGTAGGTCTTATAACCCAATATCAAGTTTCTACTTACAAGAATGTGAAGTATTTTATATCTCAAAGTTTCGGTCTAAAATAGATTAAGAGTTTTATGTTGTCAAAATGGCTGAATTCAAAACTAATGTAAATAAAAGAAGATTGAAATATTGAACTAAAAGATAATCTTGTGAGCTGAAATTAAATTGAGAGGTAATAATAACTAGAAGTTGGTTAATTATCATATTATTTATATTACAGGTCAATATACTTTAAGAGGAGTTCCTGAAAGTTATGCAGTGTTAGGTGAAAATTATACATTACAATGTGATGTTACAGATTCACCTAGTCTTGTAGAGTTCCGTAGAAACAATGTTGCTGTATGTAATATGATAAACTGTGGGAGTAGTTCAACAGATAATAGATATAAATGTCGATGTATAAATAATAACAACAAACAACTATATCTCAATATAAGTAATATAAATAAACAAGATGATACAACATGGTCTTGTAGGGGTAATTCTGGTGGACAAGGATCAACTACTGTATCAGTTTATTGTAAGTTTATTTTCATTACAACTTATTTCAAATCATATTTTTTTCAAATTAATTCCTAAATAGACAAATATAAAATTCGTACAACAAAGATTGATTTAATTCTACTTGTTACAGTTTAAAACTGATGTTGGCGCACAAAATAATGTTGATTTTGTTTGAACAAATATTCGGTTTAGTCTACATTTGAAGAAATAAGTATTCAAAATTCAAATTAGGCATTACTAATTACAAAATAGGCATCAGAAATTCAAACATAGGATTTGTTACTGTTAGCTGATCAATCTTCATTAATAATGTATGAGTAATAACGTCACCCCCAGATTTAGATACTCAAGTCTGTTTTATTGAAATGTTGACAAGCCAGACAAGTCGGATTATCTTTCTGAAAGTGATTTCCACATAATAGAGTTTTATTATTGTGAAGCATTATTAGTTTCAATTCAAAATATTATATGATTTTTATGCGCTCACATGCAATTGGGGGCGTATATTGGCGTCAGTCATGCCCGTCCTCCCACAATTGCTCGATTAACTTTCAATCAACTGTCATTGGGATGTACATATTGCTACGATTTTATTGAAAACTGGTAGGCTCGTTAACTGTCTTAGATCTCTGAAATATCGATTAAATAGAAAATCTCTTCAAACAATGTACTCCTTTATTCTTCCTCATTTTGATTATTGTGACATTATCTGGGATGGGTGCACTGCAGAATTAACAGACAAGCTAGAAAGATTACAACTTGATGCACTCCGCATTATATGCGGAGCTGTGAGGGGAACAATCCATCGATTACTATATCAAGAAACAGGTTTCATTACACTAAAGGAGAGGCGGAGACGGCACAAACTCATTATGATGTATAAAATGATCAACAATTTAACTCCACCTTATATCTGCAACTTAATCAAAACAAAACAAACCTTATATAACCTTAGAAACAATAACCTTCTTGAACAATCTTATTCTAGAACTTACATATTTTATAACTCTTTTATCCCTTCAGCAATCAGAGAATGGAACAATTTACCTGATATGTACAAAAACTCAACATCATAAAAATCCTTAAAAATTTTTCTAAAATCTACCGATATAACCATTCCGAACTATTATTATTTTGGCCCCAGGAAATATCAGATAATCCACTGCCGACTCTGTCTCGCCTGCAGTAGTGATTTAAACGGAGCTAAGTTTTCTCGTCATGTTTCAGAACATGCTGCTTGCATTTGTGGTCATCGATTTGAAGATTCAGAACATTATTTGATCTATTGCCCACTACATTTAGATGCACGAAACTGCACTATTTCTCTCCTTCCATTGTCTTTCATTAAAACATCTATTTTACTTTTTGGCACTGATTGTCCTGATTTATCTACTGATATTTTTCGTACAGTCCAAACCTTCTGGGAACTTTCAAAAAGATTCTGATGAGCCTTTCAAATTTCGTGCAAATTCTTTACACCTAAAGTTCTTTCTCAATATATCCTCTTTTTGAAAAGAAAATTTATTATCATTACATGCATAAATCCCGTATAGCAAGTTTTACATATTGTAAATATGTATGTATAATAACTAAGTTTCCATCTTTTTCAAATTTTACATATAATTTATATAGTTACCTATAAACGATTGTTGGAGAGGGGTAATATAGGCCCAGCCAGTTCCCCAATCCTTTTCATAATGGAATAAAATACTGTTTACAAAAAAAAACCAATTGCTCGTAAGCACTCAAGGAGGAAAAATTATTTACGGATTTTGAAGAAACTTGAGGTGAGTGTTTATCACCCAAAGAAGATCCCTATTGGAAATCAGAAGATTCGCAAAATATTTAGTATGAGTTATTGCCCTTGATTTTGAAAACTCGTTCAATTTTTAGCTTGTAAACACTCGAAAAGGCACAATTCTTGACGGATTTGGATGAAACTTGGTAAGAGTGTTTGTTACCAAATATTTAGTATGAATTATTGCCCTTGTTCGTGGAAACAGCTCGTAAACACAATTCTTGACAGATTTTGACGAAATTTGGTAAAATTGTTTATTATTACCCAAGGACGAACCCGATTGAAAATAAAAAAATCGAAAAATGTTATTATTATTGACCTTGTTCTTAAAAGCTCGTAAACGCTAAAAGGTACGATTCTTGCCAGATTTGACAAAGTTCAAAGGAAGTGTATGACTGAAGGTTTGACTGAATATTTCATACTACTGATTGTTACTGTACTGTCAAACTATATTTACAGATGGTCCACAGAATACAAGGTTTAACCCTACTAATGGTAATATAGATGTTATAGAAGGAAAGAGTCAGAGTGTCAACTGTTTAGCTGATTGTAAACCAGATTGTAACATAAACTGGTCTAAAGATGGTTCAACAACAATTCTAAATAACCCTTTATCACTTAGTACTAGAGATCAAACTGGTTCTTATAACTGTACAGTTACACATACTGTATTAAATAAACAACTTACAAAACATCTTATTGTTCAGATTTATTGTAAGTATATTATACTTTATTAATAAATACTAGACAACAAACTGGTTCTTATACCTGTACAGTTACACATACTGTATTAAATAAACAACTTACAAAACAACTTAATGTTCAGATTTATTGTAAGTATATCATACTATATTAATAAATACTAGACAACAAACTGGTTCTTATAACTGTACAGTTACTCATCATGTATGAAACAAACAACTTAATGTTCAGATTTATTGTAAGTATCGTAAGAAAATTCAAGTGCATGCACGGACAGGGGGGTGTCTGAGGAGTGATGTTCCCTAAAACTGAAATATTTTGGAAGAACTGAATTCGTGCTATTTGGTGTGTACTTTTTTTTGTAATTTACTTGTTATTTTCAATAAATATTGTTTTTATATGGGATTTACGCTAAACCATCCACCACTTCATAAACTTAGACTTAATACTACTTATATCAATATTGTATCCCATCCTATACATGAAAATGGTAACTCACTGTGATATGTTTATACAGCAAAATTAAAAACACAATATAAGTTTCAACCTCCTATCTGTATCGTGGGTTTACGGGACGTTTGGACGTCCAACAGTCTCTCAAATCGACCTGTTGCAAACAGATTGACCATTGTTTTTTATACGCCCACACATTAATATGGGCGTATATTGCTGTCGCCCCTGTCTGTCTGTCCACAATTGTTTGTGGATACGATAGAAAGCTGGTTTCTTGATGGATTTTGACGAAACTTGGTTTGAGAATTTGAGAGAAAGTTCCTCCCTCTGAAGAGACAAGGGGTTCTCTCTGGCCTCCTGAAGTAGCGTCTCATTCTTCGTAACATTTCTTCAGTTGAGTGCCAAGACCAAGGAACTCTACATCAAATTTTCTGTTTGTTCCCATGTTTTACCTGAAACTTAACGCATAACATTTAAGATTTTTGTATAACGAAAACAGGTATAGTCGATGTGCGTACTCCATATAGAACTATCATCAACATATAGCGCCGTGTTAATAGAGAGCTCCTTATGCTTCAAATATTACTGGGCAAGATCATTGATCTTGGTGCTAAAGATGGAAGGGCTAATAACAGAGCCTTGAAGGATGCCATTCGTTACTGCTGGATTGACTTGATTTACCAAATGTTCGCCTCCTCACTGTATTCAAAACCGGCCATTTTATACATAAATCGTCTTAACAGTCCCTTTAACTATTGTTATTATTTCAGATGGTCCGAATATATGGAAGGCAGAATGACAATCGGCATAGCCCTACTAAAATAAATTCTCAGAGTTCTTGGAAAATAATTATTAAAACACATAAGAACCGGAAATTTTTCTTGAGATTTAGCAAACTTCTATAATTTTGGAATTATTCAAGCTCCCAAAAATTAACAGTTGCAAGGGGTCGACATCTTCACGGAAATTGCAAAATGTCGTCGTAGTAAAGAGCGTTGAAAATTGAACTGGATGATAGAGGCTATCTATAGTCTATATCTTATTCTATGTTACACATGTCGTCATAATCATGACCGAATATATTCGATATTGAGTGAGATTTGTTATTGAACATTTGTATTTTAACATTTGTTGGAAGAGTTTGTGTTTGACGTTTTGCATTTGAAGATATGTTGAGCTAGATTTGTATTTGGGGATATTTTTGGCAAAGATTCTTTTACTTTCATAATTGGAAAACCGAATGTTTATCAAAGAATGTTTATTTTCGGTACAAATGATTTGATTTTTGTATATAAATGTCAATTTTCAATAACAAATGTTGCATTAAGCGTACCATTTAAGAGGTAAGAATAAAGAATTAAGAAATAGCAATGAAGAACATTGAATAAAAAGCAATTCCACCTTCCATAGGGATAAACTTTCTTTCTCACTAGATGTAACAAGTATCAATATAACAGAAGGTAGAGATCAAACTATAACATGTTTAACTTATTGTTATTATTTCAGATGGTCCTGATAGACTTACTTTCTTACCAGATGTAACAAGTATTAATATAATAGAAGGTAGAGATCAAACTATAACATGTTTAACTGATTGTTATAAATGTAATTATAAATGGACTGGGCCAGTTTCATCATCAAGTAAAGATCTTGTATTGACTGAAATAAAAAGAAATCAGGAAGGAAACTATAGATGTGAAGCTACAAATATTAAAAATACCATCTCTAAAACAAGATCTAAATCTATACAAGTTAATGTACATTGTAAGTATATATTTATTATATGACCCACCTCTCTATGTATGTATAATCATAAAATAAAGAGTTGAGAATTTTGTGATAATAAGTTCTGTGAACTTATAAAACGTTTATTGTACTTTACTTTTGTTTCAGATCCACCTGAAATAACCAGTATAACATCTGATGCTGTAAATAACGAAACTGAGAAAGTC